TTAAGGTGGCCTATTCTGTAAATTCTGTAAATTTGGTGCAACCATTGCAGAGTGTTTTCCATGATAGGCAATTTAGTTTTTGTCCCTTTAAATTCAATTGATAACTTTTACATATAAATTACTTTTATTGTAGTATTATTTGGAATAGATTTTTCTGCAATTTGACACACTTTTTCTTATATTTCAGAAACAACAGATTGTTTTTAGTCTTTGTACAATATCATGAGAAAAATGCTTGTAATTTCACATTGGTAACTATGGAATATTAGTAATATTTAATTATATATAACTGTTTTACCAATTGCCACTGCCAAGTAAATTAAAACTGCTCGCCATGGACAGCATGTTAATTTTGACCCTGCAGCAAGAGCGGAGTCGTTAAAGGAGCAAAAAAATGTTTTATCTTAAAGAAAATTTAAAATGAAAACTAAATGAAGCAACATTGTGTGTTTCACACACAATGTTGTTTCCTAGGAGGAAATGTATTTTTTTTGTGAACATGTTGGTGTAGCAGCCCGTCATCACCAGAGAAACGGGTGTTTAGGTCGATTTATTATGCTGCTTAATGACCCCACCTGTGTCAAACCCAGGACTTTCACACAGGAGAACCACGTTCGATTCCCCTGTGAAATCAAGTAAATGTAGAGTTATTTTCAGTTTGAAGCCAACTTTAGTCCTAACAAAATGTAGCAAAGTATTTATTTCAACGGAAATGGTGGTGCCTTGAACAAATGTGGCTGCTGATTGGGTAACACCTCTGACACACCCAATAAACCAGAAAAAACATACTTGCAGTTAACACCACATGCCTGCAGTTAATGAAATTAGATTAAATCTATTGTCAAGTTATATGTTTGTTCAAAACAAAGCTGTGAATGTGTACTGCACTAAAATAAATGTTTGTAATGTGATTTTCATCAAAAAAATGTTTATGAAATGTTTGTGTTCACGAAAATTCTTTTAAACATCTGGTTAAAATATATTTTTGGTTTAGAATTTTTTGTTGATTGATCTCTTTAAATATATATTTTTAATGATATGCGGTCTTCATGTCATTTGGAGCGACCACTCATCATGTGGTGCGACCAATAATAACAATAACTGTATTAAATTCAAAATAAAATATCTCATTCCTGTGACTGAAATATTAATTACTGATACAGTATGTTTAAGTGAATGATATTTTTTAAACATGTTTATCAGTTTTATGTGATTTACAGAGAAAATGAATCAATTAAATACATTTAAGAAGGGGACTGTGACATTATAGAGCAAAAATATGAGATCATTATTTACAAAAACCCAAAAGAAAAGCAAATACATTATATCTAAAACCTTTATATTACTGAGAACTTGTAAAAACTGTTAAGCATGTGAAGGAAATTAATTAATTTTAAAATAAATTATGGTGGCACCCACATGACATTTTGTAAGGCCACAGACAGTTTATGTACAGTAGATGAAAAACACTAAAATCATTTAATTCAAAAAAATAACATTAATTTATGTGTACACAGCATTCTTAATGTTTGAACAACAATAAATATTTAAATTTTATACGTCATAACACAGCCAAAATGGTTTGAAAATAAAAAACTGAATGGCACAAAATGTCCCTAGGAAATCTTAAGGGTTCAGTTAAATTAAAAAAGAGAGGATGGTGTTGACCACAGAGGAGCTGAGTTAGTAACGTTAAAGTAAATTAAGGATGCAAACTAACATTAGTCCTTTTAAGATAATAAGGAGATTATTATTTTGGATTATGATGTACAAGTGAAATTCTTGTAATAATACAGAAAGGAGGTGGTTCTCATGTTGCCTATTATTTGTTAATTTCTACAAATGTATAAAGCAGTAAATTAAGACACAAAAGGCAAACATGAATAATCCTATCTGTAATGATTCTGAGGTTATATGTTTTCCTGCCATTATAAGGTGGTGAGGCTCAAAACAGCTTGGTGCTGCGCAATGAATGTAAAATCATTGTGGAGAGCATCAAAACTAACCAAAGGAATTTTCACAGATCTAATGGTTAGAATTCAACACCAGTAGACTTATTTAGCAAGTTTAGCTTTAGGGGTGTAATTTATTTCTTCTGGGGATGACCACCAAGCCCCCTACACAGAAATACCATCTTAGGTTTTTACATTACTGTATACCGCCCTGTGAAAGCATGTTTTAATCCCAAGGGACATTTCTATTATCTGTAAATGTGCCTGCTTTGCGCCTGCCTCACCTTCTCCCTGCACTCACTCACACACACCTTTACCTCTGGTCTCTCACCTCAAACACACCGGCTTTCCCTGTTTCTGTCTGTCTCCCTGTCTGCTCCCATGAGTTTATCCATCAGCAGTAGGTTATGTTTTATAAAGACACCGAAAAGACACAGAACTCTTTTTGTTTTGTTTTTCCACCGGTGATCCATTTTTCACGTCACCGCATGCTAGCTTGTTAATTAGCTTATCAATGTCATCGTCCATCCCAGTGTTTCATTGTTGACATCATCCGATGCCAATTTTGTAGACATAACTCTACCTTAATTTGAATACATTGATTTACTCTGCAAGTAATTTTGTGACAGCATTCCCTTTGTGCGTTTCTTTTTTTGTCATGACATAGGTCTTAAATTTCATTCATATTGGTCTTAAAAAGTCTTAAATTTGACCGGGTGAAACCTGCAGAAATCCTGATATTGTTCTATTACCTCGTCTACCTGACTTAACAATTTGCATAGCGTGGGACTTCTTATTTTAAACAATCTTTATTAGCTATTTTATTTGCATATGATTCCATAAAACTCCACATTTAAAGCTCCCTTTTATATTATTTAAGTAAAAGTGCTGCTCATGGAATAAAATTATGCATAGTCGCTTTTTACACAAAACACAGTCAAAAAGGTTATTTAGCTCAAGAGATTCAAGTTATTATCACTTAACACCAAAAAATCTTATAAAGAATCTGGAAATAGAGAATGTACTATTATTGCAAAAAAGCATGAAAACAAATGCTCAGAATTGTTGCTGGTTAATTATCTGATCAAGCAATTACTTTGTCTATTCATCTTTATGCAAGATGTGCCTTATTTTGTGTCTGTTAAATGTAGAAATGACAGAAGATGTTTAAGGTTTTGATACTAATAAATGGAACTTGAATTGTAATAATGGTGTTGAATTTGTATTTTTCAGACTATCTGAAAATTTTGGAAATTTCAAGTTTGACTAGTAGTAATTTTGTTGAGTGAGTTTCCATTAGTATTTGAGTCTAGCATAATACATTTTTTTAGTAGATTTCCCTCAGAGTATAAATTGTGCACAATTACATTTATTGAGTAAAGAATTGGTGGAATTTAATTTTAATAAGCATCAGTGAATCAATGTAATTTAGTATACAGAAATTAAATGTTTTCAAAAAATGTATTATATTTAAGTAAAGTAATATTATTACCACTACTATAAAAGTTTGAAATAAATATTTTGAGTATTCTGAACTTATTGGGCCCCTTTTGATCTCTGTTTTCAACAGCTCCCTATCTACTGGTTGTGTCCCTGATTATTTTAAAACGGCTTGCGTGAACCCACTTTTAAAGAAACCTGGTTTAGATCCCTCCCTCCCACATAATTTTAGACCAATTTCAAAACTGCCTTTTATTGCAAAGATTCTAGAAAGAATTGTGTCCAAACAGCTGCTCACTGTGCTGGAAAATAACAAAATATTTGAAAAGTTTCAGTCTGGTTTCAGGAAGTACCACAGCACTGAGACTGCCCTGCTTAAAGTCACCAGTGACCTTTTAATGTCTGCTGATGAAGGCATGTGCACAGTCCTTGTACTACTGGACCTTAGCACTGCTTTTGACACCATTGATCACATCATGTTAGACAGACTGAGGCACTGGGTGGGGATCTCTGGTACTGCTCTAGAATGGTTTTCATCCTACCTGTCAAATAGGAAGTTTTGTGTGTCTGTAAACAACTATGTCTCCTCATTCTGTCCAGTTAAATATGGTGTGCCTCAGGGGTCGGTCTTAGGACCCATTTTGTTTTCCTTGTATCTGCTCCCCCTTGGACATATTATCCATAAACATGGCATTTCTTTTCATATTTATGCTGATGACACACAAATATACTTGCCCGTCAGATCCACAGACCCTGGAATGCTGAGTTCACTTAACAATTGCCTTTGTGAAGTTAAAAAATGGACGTCAAATAATTTCCTCCAGCTGAACTCAGACAAAACAGAAATCCTGGTCATTGGCTCCCAGCAGATGATCAAATACTGCCATCTGCTGGTTCCCTAGTAAATCACATTAAGCCTGTGGCAAAGAACCTTGGTGTTTGGTTTGATAGTAATTTAAATTTCGAGCAGCACACCACAAAGCTTGTTCAATCATGTTTTTATCAACTTAGAAATATAGCAAAACTGTCCAGAACTCAGCTGCCAGGCTTTTAACCAGAACAAAGAAATAGGACCACATTACTCCTATTTTAGCTTCATTACACTGGCTCCCAGTATGTTTTAGAATTGACTTTAAAATTCTATTGATCACTTTTAAAGCTCTTCATGGCCTCTCGCCTTGTTATATTTCTGATCTTTTAGTCCCATACGCACCAGCACGTACCTTGAGATCCGCGGGCAGAGGTCTGCTGTCTGTTCCAGAGTCTCGACTGAAAACTAAAGGGGACAGAGCGTTTGCTGTCAGGGCCCCGAGGCTCTGGAACAGCCTTTATTTTAAACGTGTATTTTAGTCTTTTCAATGTTTTCATGCTTTTATCTTGTATCGTTTTTGTATTATTGTTATGGGTATTATTGTCTTTACCCTTGTTAAAGCACTTTGTAACTTGTTTTTGAAAAGTGCTCTACAAATAAAGATTATTATTATTATTTGTATGCTATGCTTCAGTGCATTATTCTTAATTTATTATTTGACCCACAAATCTATCCTGTACTCGTCACAGAACATGCCACACCAAAGCACATCAAGGAGACAACAGGAATCAAAATGCAAGTGTGTTGGAAAAAAGGTCCTGTTTTTTTTTTTTTAATAACACAATTATGTCTGTTACATAAAGTAAAAACCAAAATGAGACCCCTTTTCATCCCTATCAAACCCACCCTCCTCCCGATCACCTCGGCAGTGTTGTGCAGCGATTCAGTCTGAGAATAAAAGAGCATGACACAGACAAACAACTTCCTTTGAAGACCCAGAGACAAAGAGGGCAAACACTGTGCCCTACATAAGACCAGAGTGAATATAAACATAGTCCATCATTTAAAATATCAAAATAAAAAGGTAAATTAAAACCATCAACAGCTTGTCTGAGATTACTAGAAACCTTATCAGGACCACAAGTATATTTTGTTTATACTTTTCACATCCTACTATCAAGAAACCTCAAGCATGATTGCTACCTGTGATGAACATGACATGGCTTTCTTTCAACTCCCCAAAATTGTCCAGGCACTGTGCTTTCAGCTTAAAATAAGCACTAACATGTTGCCGCTGTCTTATAGTGTTTCTTGAACATGCAGTAATGAACAACGCCTGAGGTAAGTCAAAGACGGCACCTCACACTAGCGTGCTTTTAGGCATTTTCCAGCTGATAAGACAGTCTGTGGGGACTTAGGCAGCCTGCAAAGACATGGGTAACAGCTACTGGAGTAAAAGGACTGAAGAGACACAATACTATGCTTAACCCTGGGAGTAACTGAACCTGTTTTCTCAGCATTGACATGCTAGAGTGGTATGGTGGAAATCAAGTGGTGGAGAAAAATTACCTATCCCAGGTGCAGAAGGTACTGATTGTGCGAATTGCAAAACGATGCAAAAAATTATAATTTTTTTTTAAATGATGGGGGGTGGATGCTTTGTGTCCAATGTGTGTCAGAAGGTTGGTATTTTCTAGAAGAGCAGAGCTCCCATGCTGCCCACTTCGCTCTGCTCCTTCACAAAGATTTCAAAGTACTGGTAGATGATTGTCACAGCCAAGAGGATTCCCGTACCCGAACCAATGGCACCCAGGAAGTCAGCCATGACAGACAGCCCTCCTATGCAGAGGCCACCAAAGGCAGCAGCTGTGGGGATGTACCTGCAAATAATAGAAGTAATAAATACATAAATATTCTATAGGAGGACAACTTTGCATAAGCTGCAGGTAGAAATCACCAAACCACAGACTCTGTTTGCAAGTTTGCCCTGTACCTGTTGAGCTCATGCACCATAGAGGTCTCTCTGTGTCCCCTCATTACCATCTGCTGCTCCTTCAGCTGCTTCGCCACCTGAGACACAAAGTGATGACAGCAAGTTCATTTCATGTGGGACTGACATGGAGCAAGTTGCAAATGCTCATACAAACAAACACAGACATACATCTTTAGCAGAGGATCCTGAGACCTCAATCCAGGTCTTGGAGAAGAAGGCGCAGGAGCCGAGCATGAAGAAAATGTAGATAACAGCGTGAACTGGGTCATCCAGAACAGAACCAAATGACTCTGGAGGAGAAAGGTAGTAGCAGAGACCTCCTACTGGGTAGGCCCGAGCTGGTCCACCACTCGTGGCATCCTAAACAAAAAAAAGAAAAGAAAACAGATTTTGTTAGTAAGATGCTGCATGTCCATGAATAACTAGAACACTAGAGAAACAGAAGCTGACTCTCTGTATGAAATTAACAAAGACGTCTTAATACAATCCACTGGTCTTTAAACATATTACAAAGAAGCAGCCATCATATACTTACAGACCAGGTTCCCAGGAGGTTGACAAGGAAGTTGCCGCTGAAACGTGTCGAGAGCATCTGGGAAATTACGTAGAGATTGGAGACCAGGGCAGACTGTAGGATGATGGGGATGTTGGAGGTGTAGAACAGTTTGATGGGGTAAGTGTTGTACTGACCACGGTAGCGTGCGGACTTAATGGGCAGGTCCACCCTGAAGCCCTGGTGAGGTAACAGAGTGTGCCAATCAGTAAGCTGATATTCATTTCAAAGCCTGCAGTCCAAATCTTTTAGTGATATGTAAGCAGGGAAGACACTGGACTGTGTTTCAGTTTGTGCCGCCAGCTCACCTGGAAGTATATGACTACTGCAAACACAAAGACGGTGGCGATGAGGTTCATGAGGTTAGGCAGGTTTTGTCTGTAGAAGGCCTCTCTCAGGGCGCGCACCTTGTCCGTGCGGGTGGCCAGAAGATGAAAGAGAGCAATGATGGCTCCCTCAAACTCAGTACCTAGATAAAAAGGTCAGAGTCATGGTTAGGCTTATAATAATACTAATAATACAGATGAACATTACCATCATGTAACTTAAAATGTGTTCCTTCCCAGTACCCATACCTCTGCCAGTGTTGACAGTGGTGGGGCTGAAGGCCTTCCAGACGATCGTCTCACAGATGTTGGTTGCAATGAAGAGAGAGATACCCGAGCCCAGACCATAGCCCTTCTGGAGCAGCTCATCCAGCAGCAAGACAATAAGACCTGCAACAAAGAGCTGAAGAAACAGGCAGGAGGTTTGTATCGAGCCGACTGAGCCAGACAACCAGCTGTTTGCCACAAAAAAAGAAAATAATGTAAAGCCCAACAGATAAATGGCACAAGAACTATCCTGTTTTATACTTGAGCTTTAACATAATTTCTGACTCTATTCATGACACACATTTAAAACCAGGTTGCATCATCATATACTACTACAAAGAATGTAATTTAGCAGGTAATATTAAGACACGGTTTCCAGAAACACACATTTCCAAAGGTTTTGGCTAGAGAGCAGCAGTGGGAGTTTTTATTAACCTGGATGATGATGAGCAAGCATATCCCAGCACCCATCTCTGAAGGGTCTCCATACATGCCAGTCATAACATATACAATGGCCTGTCCAATGGTGATGATCATTCCAAACACTGCAAAAAGACAGGGGGGAAAAAAAAGGATTTGCAATTGGCAATCTTGCAGGGACAGCTACTACTGATGTTACTTAACAGTATCGTGTCTGTCATCTTCAAAGCAAATAAAATATCTTCACAGTTTCAAAATGTACATATGTACATATTCTAAAAATAGCACATGTAGTGAGTCATCAACCTACATTTCTGAGCTCCATTGAAGAGGGCTCTGTCTTTCGGAGTGTCTCCCACCTCAATGATCTTGGCACCAGCAAGCAGCTGCATGATGAGGCCTGAGGTGACAATGGGAGAGATGCCCAGCTCCATCAGAGTACCTGGAGGACAAAGTGAAAAGCATGAGTGTCACTGTATACCTCTGTTAGTACAACAATAGCAGCAGTACCTGAAACACTACACAATGGCCTACATTTTATCAGATAAAGTGATGATGGGATTATCTCAGGCCTGATAACAACACTGGGATTAGATCATTTCTCCTTGTTGGAGCTGCACAAGATGGAAAAGAAGTCTGGTTAACATATACAATTCAAGCACCTCTGTTGGAAGCCAGGATTACTCTCATCCAGTAGAAGGGATCTGCTGAATCTGAAGACATGATGCCAAAGAGAGGAATCTGAATTGAGAAAAAGACAAACAGCGTCACAAACCACTACCATTAATAAAAGAACCAGGAGGTGGGCTGTCATCAACAGATACTAACCTGGCAGCACACCAGAAAGATGAATAGTGTGATGGCAGTCCATAGTACTTTTTCTCTAAATTGAATCTGTAAGGTGAAAAAAAAAATAATAATAATAAAGAGCATGTCATTTTGATCATGTACATCTATAAAGCACAGTGCATAAATGATGCAACTTAATACTATGTGTTATAAGAAAGAAGCTTACCTTTCTTTCTGGCTTCTGAATTTCTGGCAAGACCGCACAGAATGGCTTGATGACCTCCAGAAATTTAACTGCAGAAAGAGCAGGTTAGCAGGTTAAAAACAAGTAGCAGTGCATTTACACCACACCTAAGGCCAGCAGCTCTCCTCGCAGTATCAGCAATATTTGGGTCATATCTTGGGTTATTGGTCATTTTAAAAAAGGTTAACTCAGATGCTACGTCATCACTAACCACCATCTGCCAAGGGTGAGCTGGCCAGTGCAGCAACAAGCAAAGTATTTCACTAACAATACCGGGATACAGAAACACATAAAACTTGAGCAAGGCTTAGAGTAACTATTAGTCATTTTTAGACAGTTTGCGGCCTTGCTGCTGAATGTTTGTCTGGTGTTGATCAGCTGGGTCAGTCACTGAAATTAACTTTGACCGCCAAAGTGACATTTCAAATCCATCAACGTACTCGTATGAAAAAACCCGAGAAGAAACCAGTTTCAGCTCGTCTCTACAGTAGACTACCCTAGAGGAACAATCCACACAGCTAGCCTGATGCTAACCAGCGTTCAATCACAAAACGAGTGAGCAATCACTTTAAAACAGGAAGCTTTGACGCCTATTTGCACGGCATAGGCAAGGTGTTTGAAATGTCCTCTGACAGTGAAACAAACCTCGGTAGCGTTAGTTAAACACAACGAGACGCAATTTGATTAGAAGAAAAACCTCTAATTAGCTCCCATTATAAGCTAGCTACAACTTGCCACCTAACCTGACGTTACCAAAGGTTAGCTAATTACCATTAGCTCCCGACGAACGCTTTACGCCCATTATTGTCCGACATTACAAACACCGCAGGTATTTTAGATCCCCCTCAACATGCGTGTACAAGAGAAGAGTGTTACGTACTCCCCATGGTGTCCTTAGTCCGAGCCCTGCCGTGTTCCTGGTACCAGTTTGAGTGCTCAGTGGAGTCAGTGTGGCTCCATCCAGCCGCTCCGTAAGAAAAGGGAGAGCAGAGACACGTCACCAGACAAGCCGCTAACACACGTCACTTCTCTGAGACGCACACTGACCCATCACGGCACCCAGCAGGCCCCGGACAGGCGTATCCATGAAGACCCTTTCTTTAAACTGACAAACAAATCTTGTCAACTCGGAAAACGAACGATTTTAATTTTACACGTTTATAGTTTAGCCTCCTGTAACACAGAGCACTCCCATCCTCCAGAGGGCGCCCTACTCCAGACTCACCAGCTCTGATCAGTAACCTCCGTGTTTGACCCTCTATGGTTTGACCCCTTATGTTCCTCCCTTTGAGAAAGATTTATGAAAATGAGCCACGGGTGTGTTGACATAATACGACTGTAGACGGGAACAGGCCAGGAAGACAAGTGACAAATGTAAACTGAAAAAGCAGTGCGATGATCCAAACAATGTCACAAAGAAACCAGCACATGTCTGCCTTTTGATCATTAGCGTTAATCTGATCATGCATGAGTCTCAGTAACACAGTCTTATACCAGTGTACTTTATATAACGTTACTATACTATAGTCTCAACGTTCCAACTTTGGTCACAACAGGATCGTAAAAGACATTTCATTTTTATTTGACAAGTTTCGTGGAATAATGTACTCAAACTGGCTATATTCATTCATTGTCCTTAACAACATTTACAGGGTCAATTTTCTGCATAATGACAACTTTTAGGCTAGTTGTGATACTGTAAGCACATTTTGCTGATATTACTCCTGTACGTTTTCTAATGCAGGACTTTTACTTTCACAAACTATCTCAAAACTTCCTCCACTACACATGCAAGCAAACCAGTCAAACCCAAACTGCCTGATGTCACATGGGAAATAGCACACAGGATGTATCTGACTTAATTGTATTGTTTGATTCAGTTTCCTGTTTATTTGACTAAATATAGTTGCACCAGGATTGTAGGTCACATAAACACACTATAATGGCAACACCGGTAGCTCCTTCAAACTTCGCTACACTTTTGTTTTGTATCCGGCTTTACTGCCAAAACATGCGTTACCGCAGACATAAATACAGTCCTTGGAAGACGGTTTTTTGGATTAACTGTATTGTTTTATTTTATGTTACCATATTATATAGGCCTACACAAGTCATATGGTGTGTGTGTGTGTGTGTGTGTGTGTGTGTGTGTGTGTGTGTGTGTGTGTGTAGCAGAAGGAATTACAAATTACGTTTACATTGGCATGTAGGTCTATATGTGAAAAATATTTAATGTAAAACATTTTAGCAATAGGCCTACAGTGTTAAATTAAAACTTAAGTATTTAGTGTTGTGAAAAATGTCATGCCTTTAGTTCTAATAAAATTATGCCTGAAGCAATCTCAGTTTTTCTCATGCTATCATTTCTCTTGAGACGTTTTCACCACTAGAGCTCAGTGTTGCTCCAGTGGTGATATTTAGCCAGGCTAGTTGTGTTTGTGTGTGTGGTATTTGTTGGTGGAGTTGGTGTGGGTACGCGTTAAGGGGAATTCTATCAGATGAAAAAATCAAAAATACAAACTACTTAGTTCTTTTAGTATTCAAATTCTTCTTCAATGATTGCTGCATTGGAAAGTGGTCAGCACTTTTGGCCACAGTGCTGGGGGCACACTTAGCCATTGACCCAAACTAATGAAGTAATAGCACAACGTTGAGTGGAGCTTTCAGCCATCTGTACCTCGGATCAGTTTAAACTCTCTGGACCTACTATCATATATCATTGCAATTTATTTTTCACACACACGCACACACACACACACACACACACACACACACACACACACACACACACACACACACAGGTAGTGGAGGATAGTTGGGAACCTGCTAATCTGCCCACAGATAAAGAGATGTTTGTTCATGTGGTTACATAATGACCACAGAGCCGAGGTGATGACAACCAAATAACACACCATTTTTTCTGTCAGTCATAAGGAAACTATGGTCAAATTCGGCTTTGATATGTTAAACAGAAGTTATTATTAGGTGCAGGGGATTTATTTCTGAATTAATCACACTTGTGTTTTTATGAAAACTGAGCGATCCAGACAGTTCTGTTTAATCTGCAGTGCTTTAATGATCTGAAGAAGGTAACAGAGCCTGATACACCATGTGCAGTCGGGCCCTCAGCGCCAGATAATGTAAATAGTCTGTGGCAATGCACAATCAAATATCTATTATCTTTTTATACAGGAGGAAAACCCATGAAAATAAAACTTAAATGCTGATCTAGTTTTTTGATAGCATAGTAATGTTTCCCCCACAGTGATGCTGTTCCTGTGTACCTATGGAGGACATTGTGTCTGTCTGCAAACTTCAGTTATGTAAACTCACGTATCAGTGAATGCCACACAAACACAAGGAGCCCCACGTCATGGAAATAGACCCAGGACAACACTAATTACATTTTAAATATGCTTAGAGACTTACAAAAGTAAGAGGACATGTATCCTGGATTACCCACTCTCAGGAATCAGAATTAAGTCCTTCAAATGAAATGTAAAAAGGTTTCCTCTTTAGGAGGCTTATGGATTATTAGTGGCAAAAGAAAAACTGTAGTGTCTAGTTTGTTCTGTTATGCAAATCATCAGTGCACAATATTTTAAAGTTATATTCTGGCCCGTCATTAACAGCATATAGGAATATGACATAATTTACAGCTGCAACTTTGTCATTGGTCATGAGTTTGTCAGTTCTTTGACTGATTGTTCTGTCTATTAAATGTAACAAAAAAAAAAGAAAAGAAAAAGAATAAAGCAAACCACAATTTCACACATCCCAAAATCCCCAAAAGTCTTAAAATTAGTTGATTTCTTTAGTCTTTCTTTACTATCATATATCAAAAATGTAACTTCTTACATTTAAGAAACATGTTTCTTTAAAAAGGAGCATTGAATTTCTTTTCAAAATAGCTTTAATATACTGTATTTTCATAGTTACAAGGCTGAAAGAACCTCCCTGTAAAATGGAATTTTATAGAGAAAAGCAAAGCAGTGCTGCTTTGCTTTGTAAGGCCTTAGAGACAGAGATAATTCTTTTGACAACCACGAACACTAACAGATGAATGAGACTGTAATTATGATTGAAACCTAAATTAAACTGGATGACACTCTCCTTTGACACCCCTTCTTTCTCTCCATTAGTAGCTGTACTGTGTGCACAGTATTTAAATGGCTACCTTGAGTTCCAGTGACTTCTTTCTCAATGAAAGCGACAGCACTATACGGATCTTCACCTGCACATCACCAGACACATTCCTCCACGTAGTGATGTTATGCAGAGTGACACAGTCTGACTGAGGTGTGGGAAGCTCATATGTGAACAGGAACACACAGACTGTTGTCGAAACATGGCTACTTGACTAATTTGCATCTCTTCCAAATCAGTCAGCCTTTTTCTTCCTTATTTTTAGAGAGTGCTACTGCGTGTGTTTTAGTCAGTCAGTTGGCAGTATTAGTAGCAGATAATGGATTGGCATGAAATAAACTGGCCAAGCATGCTGTCAACAGCATTCAGCCTGGGAATTATAAATCTGTTGTATATATTTCATCCATACACGGGCAATTTCAGATATCATCTTATCAAAAACAAAGTTACATATCGCACATGTTCTTTGCCTCATTTAACCCTAATAAATAGTCTCTCAGTGGAGACAAATCTACTAGCAGTGACCACATACCTATGTATGCACAGCCATGTGTGTGTTTTTGCACGCGCGTTTGTGTTTTACAACTCCCAGATAACCATGTCATATTTCTGTCCATCAGTGTTCTCAGGGTTACATGAGTCCTGAGCTGTTCAGATGGGAATGAGCATTAAAACATGCCATACACACATGTAAAATAACACACATCCATGCAAATACTATTTATGTATACAGTGGGCTTATGTAAGAGGATAGAGGCTTGTCCATAAGTAAGGCAAGGGCACAGAGATGTCAGTGGGTAAAGAGAATCCCAGGACAATGGAAATGATAGGAGAGAGCTCAAATATAATCCTTGGCTGTAATATCTGAAGTTTCATTAGTTTATCATAACACCATGTCTATTACCTGTCTGTTGCTGAAACCACGTCAGACTGTAGACAGCAGAGGCTTCTGTTTGCAAGACACAGCTACTTATAACTAAAAACTGTTTCACAGTGGTTTTATGTATTCACAATATTTATGAATCTTTCAAACCTAAACCCAAACTGCTGTAATCCTAATTAATCCAATAGAGGTCTGGCGTGTAATGCGAGCCACAGTAACACCCATGGCCTGATTCAAGAGGGCAGAAAGTCTTCCTTAATTTGACCTTCATGGCTGAGCTTGAATAAAGAGTGTGTTAGTGTTTAGTAATCTGTGTGTCTGTGGTTCATTATAATAATTAAGAGGTCAGTGTAAATTAGTTTGAAATGGCAGTGGCCTCAGGCCAGCTCGAGGCCCGACGCCTGGTCGACAGCGTCACAGTTATGCAACACTCTAATTACATTTTGGCTCGATTTCGCTTTAGCCATTTCTCTGCCTTACTCTATTTCTGAAACTGGATGTGCAGGCCGAGACTCTGTGCGCTGTGTTGTCATTTGATGTTCTTATAAATATCAGTTAGATTCTAGTAAGTGGTTAGAACCTACTAGACACGGGTTGCTTTAGTATTAATATGGTTTAACTGCAAAGGCAGCATCCTGTGCATAGCGGGATCAAGTGAGAAAGTAGGGATTTATCAACTGAATGATTTAGATTGGAATGGGGTTATGGCATGATTTTATCTTCCAGTGATAAATAATCATTTGTTTCTGTTACATCATGTTGTAATATTTACTCTGACTGTTTCATAAATCATTCCTGGAAGCACTGTAAGTCTCTTACGATTCAGTTTATAAACATTTTTAAAAATATTTTTTTATCAATATACACTTTTTATAATTATGTCTTAGCATGAGATTGATATTTTATACTTTTTCCCCCTCAACTGTTTTTCAGTCCAGTTGCCCTCTGGTCCACTATCCAGCTTAAGAGGTCTGACAGAACCATTATAACTCAAGATCCACTTACTGGCATTTCAGAAGCTCTCAACTCATAAGTAAATACAGCTGGCTCAGGTATCATGTAGTCGTTTCGCTAATAAAAGTCACGGAATGCTCCTGCAAGCTACACAAAAAGCTAGTAAGTGGAATTTGAGTTGTTTTTAGCCACATGCCTGTGTCAGTTGGTTAGTCCACCACTTTGGTCCAGACTGAAGTACTTCAACAGCTGCTAAATGGATTGCTATGACATTTGGTACAAACGTTCCCCGAAAGATGAATTGTAATAACTCTGGTGATCCCATAACCTTGCAACTAGTGCCATCAATGTGTTCAATGCATTGGTTTATGACCAAGGTGGTACTTGGTCTTTCATGCTAATTAGCAAATGTTAGCATGTTAATATTCTAAACTATGGTGGTCTTTAAGGTAAATATTAGCAGCTAAACATCGGCATGTTAGCATTGTCATTGTGACCATGTTGACGTTAAGGTTTAGCCCAAAGCATGTGACTACAGCCTCACAGATCCACTTGTATGACTGTAGACTATCAGCCTTGTATCTGCTATTGTGAGTTGTGACAAGTTGTCCTGATTAGAGAAATTTCAGTGGTAGTTTAATCAGGATAGTAAATGAAAGCGGCACTTAGCAAAATATCCTGTGTATAAAGTCGTATACTTCTTCAGAGTATATAGAATGTTTTTAATAAACATTGTTGATCACACTGTGTGTATGGAAAAGGATTCCTAAGGAAGTGTGTTTGGCTGAGGATTAAGTAATGAAAGTCAGTTACAATTCAATTCAAATTCCTTTGTTTTCTGTGAGGAACTAAATTGGACAATGAATCAAACAAATCACAGCTCTGCAAAATGAGATTGAAAAGCACAAATCAGGTGATGGATACAAGGACAAGTCACTAAACATCCCTTCAAGTTCAGCTAAATCAATCATTAAGAAATTGAAAGAGATATGGCACAGCTGGGGGGATACTGGAGATCTGTTTTCACTTTGACATTAAAGAGTCTTTTTCCGTTGATCAGTGTCAAAATAGCAAAATTAAATCCCCTTTGATTCAGTGTTGGAGGAAAGTGGGATGAATACTTTTTATAGGCTCCTCACATGAAACCAGACAAGCAAAGCAAAGAAAAGCTTTGACACACTCAAACACAGCCACAAGAAAGAGAGAGTGAGAGTGTGAATTTATCTGTAGCATACATTGCTGCTGGGTCCGTCTTCTCGCAGCTGCCTATAAAATCTCTTCCAAACTGACCTGAAAACCAACTTTGCATGAGTAGGTGCACTCATCCACACACATATCACTGCTAGTTGAGCTCAAATCTACAGATTTCTAAACAGGTTAGGATATTAATCCCCCACGACCAGCATAATTTTAATCTTACTGATTTTTTTATGCATAGTCTTTATGTGCAAGAAAAAGTGGAGGAGGATTTTTACATTCTTTCATCTCTCCCACATTATAGTATTGACCCGTTTATGTAACTGCCTGTGCAGAGTTTGTCACCATTGTGTAAGCTCAATTTAGCACCTGTCAAAAAAACTCATCTTGACAGTCATAAATATATTAACATAGTGTAAAATCTGGAGGATTTAAAATTCAAAAATAAGGTACACAAAAAAAGTATTTTTGTGTGTGTTGTAATGAAAATATAAGAGGTTTTAGTATGATTGGTTGGTGCTGTCTAGTCTTCTAATAGGGGAAACTGAATAGCACCAAGTACCTTGGCCACAACAGTGCTGATGACTGGTTTCCACCCCCCACTCTGTTTTTATAGCCAGGGGCAGCGGCGTCCACTGCATGCTTGTACGCTAATGTGACGCACAATGGGGCAATTCACAGATACAGAGACATCGTGCTGGGTATCACATGTAGGAGTCATCAGACAGTTAGCCTGAAGACCACAGTGACTGATTTTGTTGACTAAGACCACTATAAAACAAAAGATCTGTGCAATATTCAAGGCCGTGTGTTGTTGTTGTTGTTGTTGTGTGTGTCTATAAGCATATGAAAAAGACAGTGGACGTGGGTAAGGTTATGCAAGAGGAATTAGGCTTAAATAATGAAGCACCTGTCAGGATTCATGCAAACAGTCACAGTGTGAGAAAATGAAATATAGATACAAGAATTTGCGTAAGATATGAAACACTCTGCACAGGCACACGCAAACTCACAAATGCACGAACCAAAAAATGCAAACATGATGTTTGTATGTCGTGTCAGATCTCTATTTGAGAGGCAACCGTGGAGACATATAAACATCAAATAGCCAAGAGGATAGGGGAGCTGTGGTAGTGAAACATAAATGTGGTCTGGACTGTCCTCCGTGTGCAGAAGAGCTGTGGAATAGTTTGCTGACTTTCAACATTGTAATAAAGTGACAGTGCTTATCCCAGTCTGTGGCAGAAAATGAGTGAACTGAGCTGAGAGATTAGGAAATGAGTTGATGGTTGTGAACAAACAAGTCAAATTCATTTTGCATGACCTTGACCTTCAGCTGTTACAGAATGACATTTGCAATGCAAAGTAATGAAATTGTTGTTTTTGGAGGTGACACATGCATCAGCCAAAGAACTGTGTGCTTTGAATGTAAGTGTGCACCACTATGTCCACACGCAAGCATGTACAATGTACAGTGACTGACTAAATGTTTATGATATGATGGAGCAGATTTGATGAATGAACAGAGTAGTGAAGGAGTGTATTAATATTTTGATGAACAGTGGTGTGACTCTCATGGCCCAAAAAGCTATGACACAATTTAATTCCCAGCAGAGGCTGCTGTTGCCATAGTGATTTCAACTGCTGTTATGCAACTGCTTCACAGTGGAAACCTTCACAAAGCAAAAATGGGCCACGAGGACGCACATGCACGCACGTGTCATATAGTGTAACGCAAGAGCTATGGTACAGAATACCAATGTGGTTTAATACATAAATTCATACACACAATATGATGACAGAATGGGATCTTTTTGATGGTTAAAAACAGCCCAGTGACCGTTAGCCTGTTATGTAACATCGACTAGCACCCCCCACCCCCACTCTTCCCAGTAGAGTGGAGATGGAAGAGCTTATCTTCTCTCCATCCTCTCAGCTATCAATCTTTGTATCCCTCTGCAGTCACACAGCACAGAAACAGCACATGCGTGGCCTGCTTCAGGATAGATGATGGCTCTGCAGCTGATCTCTGGCAGTCTATTAAACATAAAACACTGGGGTCTGAAAGTGGCATGCCCTGCCCTGACCCAGAATCTTCAAGATCAAAGTGTCTGTCTGCTCAGTCAAGCCCTTTACTGGGTTCCAACAATAGAAAACTATTGTTGTGCAGAATATCAAATGTTACAGTTGCATCAGGACCACTCTGATTGTAATAACAGCCTACTGAAATACTTTTCCTCAATAATATACTCAAAGTATGGGAAAGGCATTAATTATTATTAATCATATATATTTAGTATACATACAGTGCACTAAAATCTTCCAAAAATGTTGTGATTACCCATTAATGTGTTGTTTGGCTATTCTTATTTAATTTAAACAGACCGAGTCGTTACTGGCAGTATAAATCTGTATGTGTCAGAGCTCATGGGGCTGCCTATTCATGTCCAAAACCCTGCAAGCATGTGGCAGATGGTGATACGCAGGAGGTCACTATTTTCAACTGAAACAAGCTGACTTCATGATATGATGTACTCTAACCAATATGCGAGAAATAAATAGCTATGGGTAACACCATGTGCTAAAATTCAAATGTCAAACATTCAAATGTCAACAAAATGTGTCTTCATTACCCTGGATAATGCTTTACATTTCAGATTGATTTGAAATTATTGTGTCAGATGAATGCCTGCGCCAGCGGTACAGTAAAGAGAGAGAGGACACTCAAGTGATAATGGCCGTGCTCTCTGTTGACACAAGCTTATGTCTGCTTAATAGCTGTTCTCCACGCCAGTATTCCTCACATCACACAGAGCCTGTGACTCTGCGTGTAGATTGTTCAACCCCGCTCATATCTGCCTCAGACTGGCTGGAGATGACCACGACTGGCTGAGGCAGGCCAGGGTGTCATCCTTCGCCTGCCTCAACAACCCCCATTTCTATTATAACATCTCATCGCAATAGAGACTGAGTCTAGAAGTCTATGTTTGGGTAATCTTGTGTCTTTGCTGCACTCCACAACATTACAGGATGTATCTGCAGCAGGCCTCAGACTTGGCATGTGCTATAGTTATTTTCTTACACAGCAGGTGGTGAGAGTCAGCCTGACAGCATGCTCGTATTGAGTTGCAGTCCTATCATACTTTCCAGTGTATGTGTAGATATTAATTCATCTTTTCTCATGTGCTCATATTGGCTTGAGTTCAGAAAGCAGTCACTTCCCTCATCATACATGTACACACCCAGGGGGCAACCCCACATCCGGAATATTTGCATGAAATTTGACTGCTGCGCCATTTAAATTTCAAGTAAGTCTGTGGATTCTTTCTACAACCCAATGATTAAAAAGCTCCCAGCAACACAAGACACAAGCAACACCAAATATGAAAGAAGACACAGACGTTAGCACAAACCCAAGTCTTTAATCTTTCCCTGTGCACAACACATTTATACAAGATAGAGGTATCCAAGAGAGAGATCCTGTCAAATAACAATATTAATTCATATCATTATTATAACATTAATAACATGGAATGTAGTACTCTCCATTCACATTCTAACATTTGAACTTTGTTTTATTTTATGAAACATGTCAAATAAAGAAATAACTCTGTCTATGATACCCATATGAATATAGTCTCTGTGAGTGAAGATGAACAGGGAAAGATGGATGGCAGAATGATCTGGCAAAAGAGAAGGATGGAGGGTGTGAGCTCACTACCTCTCCTCCCATCGACTCTGTCCTCATTCACATACAACCCCTGCTCTCTCACATAGCCCTGTATGTGTTGAAAGTGCATGCTAGTGTGTGCAAAATGCTTGACACTTTCTTTGGAATCAGACACAATGAAAACATTTCTCCTGTCTCAGACTTCAAACTGCTTTTATTTGCTGCCTACCCTTTTGCCCTAACGGTGAACTGGATTAAACAGAATGATGACGATAGGTAAAATCACTGCATCAGTCACACAGATGGCTCGCGTATGTTGCGTGCAGGTCTGTTTCACATCCCCAAGACGGACACACAGAACAGGAACATCAAGAAGCACCAACGGCAGAAATGGGTTCCAATGAAAGGCCAGCTACAACAAGGTCTAACTGTGAAGAGGAGAAATCTCTCCCTGTTTCTGTAGTCCAGTCCTCCTCTTTTTTCCCCAAAGGTCAGTTATTGTTATTGTGCACCTGTGTCTGAATGTGTGTGCATGTGTTGCGTCAGTCTTCAGTCTGTGCTGTGGTTCTCCAGCTCGGAGATGATGGTGATCAAGTTCTGGAGACCAAAGATGTAGCCGCTGTCCAGGCCCTCGTGCACCACTCGGTCCTCCTGGTAATGTCTGCAGGTGGTGTGGGCAAAATCTATCATCCTCACGTCCACCACAGGGCCGCGGGGGTCTGAGCGGGACAAGCGAGCCTGGCTGACACCGGAGCTCCCGCCACTGCTGGTGCCATCGCTAGACGTGGACGGTCTATGAGGAAAACCAAGTGCACCTGCAACTTCACCCACCTCCTCCTCCTCCTTTTCTGGTTCAGCCTCTACCTCCTCTTCTTCTTCTTCTTCTTCTTCTTCTTCTTCTTCAGAGAGTCCGTCCTCAGTGTGTTGGCATGTGTGTTTTCTCTGGGGCGCTCCGTCGTAGATGATGAGCAGCGAGCTGGAGTAAAAGCGGTAGGATTCGCAGGCTTCCAGGGCAGCTTGCATTTCTCTGAGCCTGTGCAGCACCGGGGAGAGGAGCTCACGTCGCAGATGCCGTCCACTGTGGAAGAATTGGAACAAAGCCTCCTTGAAGTCGGGCAGAGTCAGCCTGCGGCCGTGAAACTTGCTCATGAACATCAGCTGGCCCGTGTCAGACTGGTACACCTGAATGGATGGAGAACCATGGAGAGGTTTGAAAAGGAGAGCAAGAATGGCGACTACTTCTGTAACAAAGGTGTTACAGACATGTGATGTATTGTTTATAAATAGTTCATGGCTAGTGGGTCACCTTTACTGATTTAATGGCCAATGGCAAATTTCCCTGCCATTTGGTGCTCCACAGATGGTAATTTCAGAGCTGTGTTGCAGGGTAGATTCCCTGTAGTCACGTTTTTAAAGAAATATTTCCAAAATGATACAAACATGATAAAAGTGCTAGTAGGCAGGCTAGCTGTTTTCCCCAGTTGACAGTCTTTCTGCTAAGCTACGCTAGCCAGCCATGAACACTACGGCCAGTCTTGGTTTGAAACCCACCTGCATGCCAGAGAGGCAGACTCCAATTGAGGATGCCGTGCTCTGCTGGCACTTGCGAATCTTCACGGCCTTCTTCTCTTCCGAGGCATCGTCTCCATGCTGCTGTGTGCCCATCTTCAGGTCCAACACACATGGCATGGTGTGCCGCCACGTCAGGTTCTCCAGCAGGATGAATTCTGATAAACTGAGTCAAGGAGGCCAAAGTCGGAAAAAAAACACTTCTACACTAATCAGCTTACAACAGCTTGACAAGGTTAATTAAAAAAACTATGTAGATCAAAGCTTTTCCCTCCAAGTGTCACTGCATTCAAATAAATGGTATTATGATACTTACAGGCAAGTCACGGCAATATCAAGTAACTAATGGGAGTGACAACAAGACAAAGACTAGACTGTATCAGATAACAGGTCTGAGGTACATGGTGGAGTCAGTGATAATCATCTGCATTTCAACTGCATGCAAAAAGGCAGGTGCAGTGGTGTCCCGGTGGCTCAGCATACAATGTCCTCTGGCCTGCGACCTCTGAACATTTAATCCGATCTCTTTCCACTGTGATACTGAATTTTGGCAGTTTAGCCCTCAGTCAGTGAAAGGATACTGTATTGGTTGCGGTGCTTGGCGTTGTCCTTCATCTTCTGCAGGTGGTGCTGTTGGCACCTGAGGCTCCAGGGGTTGTGTCTGAGCTGTATGGCGTTACTGTGACTGCGCTCCAGTCTGTAGTAGAGCACCTCGGCCTGCCGTAGCGCCTCCAGCCCCACATCCTCCCCACATACACTGAACGGCAGAGGGAGAGAGAGCCTCATTAGTTTTAGGCACAGAAATAAAAGAAAAAACAGACTCAGTGCTTGAGTATGTGGTGAAAGTATGAATGTGAGTAGTAGAGCATAAAACAAGTTATATTGGATATGAAGAGGAACCCAATGGAACAGTGTCTTTCACTCACTATCATCCATCCAAAAAATGTAAAATTAATAGTTTCATCCTTCCAGCCTTTACCCCCCACAGGCCGAGGCTGACTAAGTTTTGTGTTTGTGTATATGCATAGACATGCATCTATTGCAGTTATGTAACCCTTCGGCTGTAACCCTCTCTCTGGCTGCCAAGGATCAGCCGCTCACAGTATTTAGAACCAGATTTGCCTTAGGTTGTATGTGTAAGTCAATGTGTGCGTCATTAGTCAATTATAGCTTTACCATTCACAGAAAACTAAAGATTGCTTTAAATAGATCACGGTTATGTCATATTTCTAAAATGATCGATGCATCATCTTCAGTTTAATTTACATGATCCCTGAAATAAGTGGGAACATGACTTACTTTGCCCCCGCCCGTTGATGAATCAACTACACCTTCTACTTTTTCCACAAGTCCCTCAGTGTACTGCTTTCTCTGCTCTGTGATCTCACCTCTTGTCCTTGTCTTTACGAGAGTGGCGGCTTCGGCCATCTTTGCTGTAACTTTCGCCGTCCACAAGCAGCGAGGATGCAATCATTTTCCCCCACTTGAGCATCTCGCGTTCGGGCTCGCAGTCGGCCAAGGGGTCCTTGTTCTCGTGATCTACTGCTGTGTCACTCTGGAGGGGGTAAGCGATGATGCAGTGGTTCCCTTCTTCATCCTCCTCGAAGCTCACTGACACCACACCTGAGTGATGGGCATGGAGGGAGACAGAAAGACTTCTGTTAGACATTTGTGTCATGGAGCACTGAAGAGAATATGTCATATCAAAGCACAATAAAGCTGACAAGATAACACAAGCTCTTAAGCGCTAAGAATCTCTTATCCTCATCTTGTTTCCTTTTGCAACAGTTACACTTACAGAGTAGTTTGTGTCTAAACCCACATCTCTTTAAGACATCTGTTGCAACAATACCTGGACAAAACTATAACATACAAGAGAGGATGGGACAGAGACACTGAGCTCTCAAAGCCACACAGAAAAGGACAGAATGAAAGAACGATCAATATCAATGTGCAGGTTTTGGCTTTTACTTGTGTAAATCAATACACACTCAAACAATCCATGCTAACAAGCTGGTCTAGTGCTAAAAAGCATAGAGCAACATAGATGAAATAACAGCCCAAACACAAATGACACAAGGCTACAAAAGTTACGTCACTTCTTTTTATTACCGAATATTTAATCACACAAAAAATACATACAGAAATACACAAAGCAACACTGCACACACAGAAAAAAAAGGTATGATGCCAGTCTACAGGCTTCGGCTATAGACAAAGAGCACAACAAATAATGGTCGGCATGACAGCAAAGGTTCAGAAGATTCCTGAAGCTTGTTTGTATAATAAACAGCCTTTCCTCCTCATTGTGTCCCAAAATATGGCTGAAGGAGAAGCCAAGATAAGATGAAGAAGAGGAGGGCTGAGAGAGTAAGTTAAAATAAAGATAAAGAGGTGAAAATGCTGACATGGAAGAAGCACTGTTGCCACAAAATATTCATGGCAGAACAAGGGATAGGGACGATAGAGAGACTGATTTATGTTAAGTTGAGGCTCAGTATTTTGGAAGTGAACATTAAAGGCGGCAGTGGGGCTTTTGGGACAATCAGGGGAAAGTGACTGTTTAGTATCACCTTTGACTTCTCTGCTGGAGACACAAAGGAAACAGGTTTTGTAGAGTGCTGTCGATGTCAACCTTTTTAGATGACCTCATGGTCTCTGCCTAGCACCTTTGTTTCTGCATGACCACTGTGTGCCAGAAAACCTGACTTACTGCAGCCTCTTACAAACAAGACAATACTATAAGGTGGCTTGCTTGTAGGAGGCCCACTTGCAGTCTCAGCTGCAGCACCCTCCTGTGGGACAGTTTGGTACATGCTGCTGCATGAGACAACACTGAAGCAGCAGCAGGGAGCTCATGTGAATTGATGTTTCTATTGTCTGCAAAACATCAATTAACACTTGCACATATCCCATAGAGCAAGTGCACTATAGGCATATGTGTAAGTCAAGTGAAAACAGAGATGCATAACAACACAGCAAAACACAACAACCACAACAGAGATTAGAAAAGGCTAGTTTGCATTACCTCTATATTGGGGTGTAAACTTCCTAATTGCAGCAGGCAGATTCTTGTAGAACTGATGTTCGCGGGGGATGAGGGGCTTGCAGATGGTCTGCTCCCCGAAGCGTAGGACACAGCAATGTCCCCCGACCTGGTGTATGAAGGGCTCAAGCATCACCCCTTTCTCCATGTAGCACTGTTGGTGCTGGTTCTGTTGCTGTTGCTGCTGCTGCTTTTGCTTTTGCTCTGCATCCATGGCCTCCACAGCCGGACCCATCCTCCTCTGGCCCTGACCACACTACTGTGGGCATTAGCCTCCTCACGCACGCACACACAATGTGGCAGGGGCCCTATCTGGCAGGGGACACACACTCACTCGTGCACTGCAGATCCACAGAGGACTAGTCGTGGTATCTCGTGTTAAGGTCGCAGGCTTTTGCCAAATTATTCCCACGATGTCTTCAGAAGCTGCTGTTGTGATGATGATCTGCTTCGTGTGTGATTCTGCTGCTCGAAAACAAAGGACAGGAAGGAGAATAGAGGAGGAACTGAATAAAAAGCCAAGATTTAGTGGACATTTCACCCCTTTATAACTCCTTGTCTGGCGGTTCTTGTAGGCGAGTACAAACAGAAAGCCTTGTACTAGAGCTGCAAGGGCTGATAAAGCAAACAGGGACAGATCCTGCTTGTGTCTCCACTGCAGACCGAACGCTCTCTGACAGCTGAGAGCTGGCTCACCACTGGTAAAGCTCTCACAAGCCTGACACTCTGGCCGTCCCCATCATAAGCCATCCACCAATCAGCAGCACCCAAAGCAGGTTGTTGGGTGGTAACCCTTTGAGGGAAAGGAGTGAGCAAACAAAGACAGCAGCGGGAGGGTGGGAGGGGGGAGTCTGGGGGAAGGGAGAGAGAGAGAGGAAAGAAGAATAAAAACAACGAGGGAAGGCGAAGATGAACCAGGGTTTAAACAACTGACAGAAAAAGCAGCACTATTTCCCCTTATAAAGTGAGGTGTAGGGAACGGAAAAACAGAACAAGGTGGAGACAGAAACTGACATGCAGAACAAAACACACTGACAGCAGTCAAAAATAAACAAGCTTACTCACTAACTACACAGAAATCTTGGCCTGAAAGAGCCAACAGCTTTGGTAGCGTCTGATTAATGATTGTCACTTTAGAAGCCATCTAAACTGCCGTTTGCAGACGAAGGCTCTCTGGCTGCCAGTCAGCTGAGATCCAGTTTCCAGCTATCGGTTGCTTGTCTAAAATACTATTGAACTGATGGCTAAATTGACTTACACCTTCATAAGTGACTATGTAAAGATTACTAAATAAAGCTTTAGTTTTATAAAAATATTTACTTGTACAAATGAGTCTTTAGAGTCTATAAATGTAAATACACTGATACTGAAAAACTCTGAAGTCTAACACTTCTCAGACTTTCTATATTTTGTATTTACTTCCCCCACCTACATCCTAAACGTTAGTGGTGTATCAACACTACGCTAGCAAACGGACTATATAATGCATAAATGAATAAGCGTTGTGAGGACCCTTCCCTTTAGTTTAAAGTCCACAGTAAAGTGAACATCTTCCATCCATAGTAGAGCCCAGCTCAATAACGGTGTGAAGGATTTATAGAAAATTAAAGAGCAGAAGATGGAGATGTAACAGAGACACAACAGAGGTCAGGATGTGGTGTTATGAAGATACGGTGGGGTAGTTTGAGGGTGTTTCTGAACTTAAACCTCATCTCGCACCCTCCAAGCCCTTCTTGAGACAGAATATCGTAGACAGAAGAACATCTGCAGGGACGTGCACAGACATTTTGGGGGGATTTGAACTACTGCTCGGAAAATGCAACACAGATGAGTGCAGGGTGTATTATTACCAAAACATATACAATGTTATAGTGTATTCTTGTGTGTGTGTGTGTGTGTGTGTGTGTGTGTGGAGGGGCTCTAAAATATCATGTGTTTCTCTGTTGCGTACATGTGGGTGTGTGCATGTGTGCTGTACATTAGAGTTGGACATGGCATGTTGTACAGGGAACAGAGTCAGAAAGCCCAGCATTAATCTCTCTAATCCTGTCTCTTGGGACACAAGAGGAAAATAGGCCATGGTAAACAAGTAGAAAATAGCCACACTTACACTTAAACACAGTATGTGTTGTACATACACACAGCACACATCTAAAGCTTCCTTTCTGATGGTGGACAGAGAAGTGGGGTGGCCCTTGCAACTCCTGCTCTGATATCTTTCATCAGTGGACACCTTCATGGACAGCCCTCTGAGACAAACAAGGCCTGCTTAGTCTCAGCAGGGAATGCTCTGTTTTGTCACCTCTGACCCCCTGTAATCACTTCAATTTGCGTGTCAAGACAGCCCAACACACAAAACAGGTGTTCTCATTGATATATGTTTCTTTTTGTGTTGTCAGAAGGCTGCATGACGAACAGAAACCATTGTTATCTACCAAATCAAATAGTAAATAAGGAAATCCATTAGACTTAACCTATTAGCCTGGATGAAATCTTGGATTTTATTTGTGTAGAAGGGCAGTGCACTTTAGAGGTGCTGGAGCAGCTCTCTGGCCAGCTCCGGCACAAATTTAAGCACTGGAGCTATGTCAATGTCAACGCCTGGATTGCATGCTATTATTAAAGTTAACAATCACAGAGAGAGTTGGAAATGACAGAGAGTTGGCAATGTCAAGGGGCCAACATTAAAATCAGAATAACCTGCAAGACACCAGAGTGATATAATTCATCATACAGATGATGAAATGAAATGAACTGACAGGCCGAACAAGCACTACAGGTGTCATGGAGATCAGACATTCATCTCACTGACATCCACAAGTTCACAGGCCAGCTGGCACAAACATAAGCAATCATTAATGCATGTAAATCAAACATTTACAACAAAAGCAATAAACCTTCAAATGTGTGCAGAGGAATTTAACAGGGGCATAATGGAACATTGAAGCCCAAACTGGAAAATGACATACTGTAGAGAGCAACAGAAATAAAAAGGACCGACAGGGAAGTGAAAGCCATGACCTTGAAAGAAATGGGCTGAGCACAGCATGAGGCAGTTAGCAGGGGCTTTTCACAGTGCTGAGGAGGTGTGTGCCAGTCGCAAACAGAGACACTGGAATATGCAGCCAACAGGAAGCTGGAAAGCCCCTCACTTCCATACAGTGTGCAACACGCGTGCAAGTACACCTCCTGACAAGATCAGAGCTTTTCCAGCCTTGACAAAAGGGAGAGGACAGATTTTTGAATCTGTCTAACAAGGTGCATCAAGAAACCGCTAAGAAAATGGATTTCAAAGTCCTTAGTTTGTATCTGCTCTCTTCTTAAGCCTGCTGATTGTAAGTCAGTCAATGGCAATTTTGGTTTCTTCTGTGACACCAAGCAAGATTTCAGGCTCAGTTAGGAAACCGATTCCACACTTTGGAACTCAGCTGGCTCTAGTGAGTGGACACTGCAAAAATGTGCCCATTAAAATCAACCTGAATCCCCATAAACACTCTATATAACTATATAGAGCGTCAAAGAGGGAAGAAGTAAGGACATGCAAAGTCAAGGCCACCAGTCCATCACACAAATAACTGACAGGCCAGCACATTTTCAATGAAAGCATTTTGCGAAGCTGAGGTTCAAGGTTCATTCTTATATACCAACATCTCAGTTACATTCAATACTTGTCTGTAGCTGTTGCCATCGAAATTATTTGAACCACTAAAGAAACAGCAGCTATAGCTAAATACCAAGCCTACAAACGAAAATGTTTTCTGTTTCTCTCATTCATAGTAATTTGCTTTGAGCCAGTGTTTTGCTACTGGCTTTAGCACTAATATGCTTTACACTGAAACACAAACTATTACAAAGCTGTTTTATTGATGAGTGGCAATTCACAGGCCCAGCTCGCTAGGGCTGCACGATATGATAAAAAAATCATATCGCGATTATTGTGACAGATATTTGCAATATGATTCATGATTAGCGAGAATGATTACTTTCACATCACAATTCATCATGACGATGTGACATTTGCTGGGTCTGTACCAAATAACATCTAGGTTTCTTACATCTAGGTCTGGGCGATATGGCCAAAAATCTTATCAAACATTTCATATCATTCGATATCGATAATCATCACGATAAATGTCAAATCATTATGTCTTTCAAGTTTAAAGGCTGATTTTTGCTCCAGAATGAAAACTGAAGAAACCAGGTGGGTATTTATTTGGTTAAACTTTTCTTTAAAGCCAGAATGTAACAAACACTTGATGCCAAACAGTGGATCACTTCACAAATCTGTGGTAGAACATTGAAAACTATTAAGAAAGTCTTTTTCAACAAATATGATTAGTAAGTTTTTCAGTACCTTTTTCTCAACCAAATAAATAATTTAATAGGAAAATTAAGTGCTAATTTGTTCGTGACTGAAATGAATTAAACCAAATATTTATTGACGATATATTGAACATTTACCATATTGTTGTTGAGGAAAATTATATTGCGATAATTATCATTATTGTTTTATTACCCAGCCCTACTTACGTAGAACAATATTTGTAGGCAGGGGTTTCTCTGCAGCTCTACAGTACTTCATTAAAATTACGTTTTGTCACACTTGACCTTCTTCCAAAAATTGCAGCTTCTGCGATTTGGATATTGGCCATTTTGCGATTTTGGTAATATTTCGATTAACTGTGCAGCCCTACACATGCATGTCTTTGGCTTGTAGTGATGAACAGCAGCCCCTTGAGGACAAGATCAAGGACCAGATATCAAACCTGGATCTTCCTTCACTGCTGTATAGGCAACATGCTGCACACTAAGCCAAAGCCGTCATGTCCCCTCCACTACAATATTTGACCTTAACTGTCTTTTAACTATGCTTTACCTTCTACTCCATATACAGTTATTCAGAGTCAAAGTCATGCAGACAACTGTCTCAACGTTCTCACCACGATTAACACATTTAGGGAGATCAAAGTGCTCACATAGCGAACCTAATCTGTGAGCTTTTATCTGTCAACAATAACAGGGCAGCAAAGGGAACAGGGTGGGAGCAGGTATGCCTGAGGTTATTAAGAGGGTCGATGTTTCATTGAATCCACAGGGCTTTACAGCACGTTCAGGCGTCCTAGAAATGTCTGTATTAAGAGACAAACTATTGGAGAAGGGTGGTTCGTGGGGGTGAGGGGAGTGCAGGAAGGAAGGATGGATGAGGTATGTCTTTTGCCCTTGTGTGGCCATGGGCACTGGAGGAGGAGGCTAATATGGAGGCGCTGAGTGAATTTAGATATAAAACACACAGAGGGGAACGTGAAGGGCAAAGCAACAAAGAGCACACATACACACACACACACACACACATATCTTTGGATAGGTCTATCATAAGTTTTTTACTTCCAGTAAACAATCTTACAAACAACTACTCCGTTATAAATAAATCCCTCTAATAAATATTATGTGTATGCTTAGTATTTGTCCTGGTTCTGAGAACTAGTTTGTTGTGTGTTTTTGTACTGCTGACCTTATCCCCTTCAAGAGCCTTAAAAGATTTAGGATGAGACAAATAATCTGAATGAGGTGGCATGAGTCGGGATTTACCTGGACCTATTTAGGCAATAGCCTGGAGGAAACATGCATAGACACACATTCATGTGCGCAGATCCCTCACAAACCATGTCGATCACACATGCAGGCAGGAACAGAG